ATTTTACCATTTACTCGGCTCTTTTGCCACAAATAAAGGAAGTTTTTTGTGACTCTTAGTGTGTTGGTTGTAAAATCAAGTTAGCCGGCCCAAAATTGCAGTTCTATACCGTGAAGGATATAACAGTCTATTAAAATTTTCGGCATTGTCCTGCCAGTTCACTATCCGCGATGGAAATGCTTGGAAAACTTTCTTTGTGTTGCGATATTGCGTATCCCTTCAGTCAATATGCATTAGTGGATTTACGAGGTATCATATTTGATACCTCATGGTAAAAGAATGCTCCTGGAAATTGTTCAAATCGTGGGTCGTCTTAGAAATTGATTGCTTCAAAAAGCAGTAAATCGTGTGTAATCCTTTTGATACAGCCCGACACGTTTATGTTAAAGATAGTGCTTTATCAGACATCGAGACTCGATTCTGAGGGTAAAACGCAAAATTTTCTCCAAATAATACCAGGAAATTTAGAAATTTATACCAAAACTCGAGAATGTTCGTCTAAAAGAGTTCTACTATCGCAAACAAATCAACGTCAACTTTCTGCATTAACTCAAAGCACCTTCATTTGGACGCCGATCACACCTAGGAAAACAAAACATAACACTTACTAAATCTTTGAAAATCCTGGAACGGCTGTCAAATGACGGCTGCTTTTTGCGCAAGCAATGTGAAATGTTCACAGTCACTGAGTGAGTTTTTTTGCACGAAAGAATGTTCGCCCTTTTATTTCAGATTATTAATTGGAGGTCCTATCACGTGGGTTAGTTAATTTTCCGAATCAATGATCACGAGCTTTCGAATGCATAAACAATTTTCAAGGTTAAATTAATCAAAACCAATTTTCGGTGCTTTTTATCTCTGCTTTTACTGATTCGTCCACTGAATGAGTTTTACAAAACTTCAAAAAGTTAGTAGATCCGTTTTAGCACTGAAAGATACTTAAAACATCAATATCTGAGTCGAATTTTCGGGTTAAATTTCCACACTTAATTTTACCACAGAAATATGTAAAAGCTTTCAAATTTAAATGTTTCGCTTTTGGAAAGTTACATCATCAAAAACACTTGCGTATGCATAAAAATTGTAATCAGCCAGGTTTTGTTTTTTACTTTATATACTTTTGTTCAGAAAAACAAATAAAGAGCTTGGCGAGCAAACGAAAAACTGGAGTTTTCCAATTGACGGGCGACGTGGATTTATTTCCAACAGAGAATGAGCTTGTAGTTTCCTAATGTGAAGAAAATTTGAGTTCCAAGATAGAACAATATTGTATTGCATTGTGATGACATAAGGCAACTATATAATGACAAGAAAAGCCGCATGATACTAAATTAACATTTTCTTAATCTCTATGTAAACGCGGTCTTTGATCACAAATGTATTATTCAAGATAACAGAACTGTTTTCTAATTTCTGTCGCATCTTTTAGATATAAAAACCAATTAAGAAGCAATAACTAGCGTCGTGAACCGATTGACAATGTGCTGTCCACGGCAATAAACAGATCCACGTGAACTTTCTTGCTGGCGTAGACAATCCGGTTTCCTGAACCGGAAATATTTACCCAGCGGATTTCGGAAATGAGACAGACAGAACCGTGTTTGATCGAGCTAGTAGACTATGAAACTGTATGTTTTTTTTTCTTTTCGCCTGTGCATTACGTGTTAAAAGTTCCAAACGAAGTAATTATTCGAGAGAAAATAAACGGTGTTTAGTATGATGCCATAGACTACCAAGATATATGTTTCGTTAAATTCGTTATTTAGAGCAGCCTTGTTTTGAGAGCAAACAACGAGCCAAAGTCATGTTGTCAAATACAAAAACCGCCTTCTGTTGTACGACACCGCTCTGATACCGACCCCTTGCAAAAACCATAGCGATTAGAGAGAAACCTTGAGCATTGCACACATTATCTCTGTGGATATCCAGCAAAAATATTAGTAGAAACATTTTCAAGCTCTTCAATTTTCATTTGGGTTTTTAGCGGGGATTATTTCCGGAACAATTGAGACAAGAACGTGCGTCAGCTGAAACTAAGATGATAAGAAGTCATTTTAGCGCGTGTAAGTTGTTCAATTAGCACGCGACCAAAAACATGAACGCGACAGAAGAGCTTGTCATCAGTCAGTTTCTACCTAATATGGCGTGAAAACAAGAGATTGCGACGGTAAATGTGACATAGGATTGCTTTCTCTCCACGTTAATGAGAAAATACATAACAGCAGCACAATCGCAACCAAAAAACTCAGTTCTTTTAGGCTGTCGATATTTTAGAATATCTCCCAACAACATATTGCATATTAAATCAAGAGGCAACAAAACAGACATGTCCTATAATTTATGTTACTACCCTCGGCCATATAATTTTTTTTGTAATGACACAAAGTGATGTTTAAGGCAGCTCAGGTGAAAGTGGATAAGTAAAAAGACTACAGTTATCATATGACGCTTTAGGCAGCTATGTGTAGTTGGAAATCAAAATGACATTGGAAATTTCAAAGCGTCTGGGTACTGATACTATGTACTTTGCCCCTCGACTGTCGATAATCCATTCTAGTTCAGAACCGAAAGTGTAAATCTTGTATGCAATTAAAAGTTGATCACACAAACACTTTTTCGAAGGTCGGCTTTGTAAAAGTGTTTTAAAAATCACGGTTTTGGATAGAAGTATTCTAAGTTACTTTATTTCAGATCTAAAATTTTTGAAAGGAGAGCTCCAACTGCGCCAGAATTAAACTTAGGGGAATCAATGATTTTCAATATTACAAAGGGAAATTTTCTGAATGTAAAATGGATTTTCAAGTACTGGCGATGATACAACTGGAAAGCTCTTGATAAACTCATGGGTTAAATGATTGACGCTTGGAATCGCTGTTAGTGGCCGCAGTTACTTTTCTAAGTACAGTAATGATCGGAATTTAATTCCAGCGCAAATATAATTTAGAATAATCTGTTTATTCCTAGGGTGTGACATTTACCGACGTCGGGCCTTGAGTAACTGCAATAAAGGAGCGCTCAACCATTATTAACTTCTCATCGAGTAGCAGCTTAATACCAAATTCACATACTATACAGTATAAAGGTTACAGTCGGTAACACGATAATCGTCCACAGTCTGAGTAAACATCATTTCTTACAATTAACACCATTAGTCAATAAGCTTTGATGAAAAGTTCGCTGCAGGGAGGGCAAAGTCCGGAAAAGTTTGAGCGAGTTTAAAAACGTTCCTCTAATTAGGTAGCTGTTCTGGTGAAAAATAATTCCACCTCACGGCTTGTGATACTGAGATTCCTAATTTTCTCATTCCTTGGCAAACCGTTTTGATATTTCCACAGTTAGTCATGGAAGTTATCTTTTGGTTTATGATTAAATTCTGTGTTTGCTATTTAACTACCATCAAATTTCTCCTTACAATATCACCCACGAATCAAATATTGAGGTCACGAGAATTAAAGGAAATGATCCCCAACTAAAGAAGCTCTCAATTATTAGACAAATTCTCCTTATCAACATCTTGGAAAATGTTTTAAAAAATATTATGGAGAATATGCATACTGATGTTAGGGTGTGAAGGGTCAAGCCGAATTGATATCGTGTACCATTCTTCAAGACTTAAATACTGCGGGGCTCTAGCATAGCTACGCAATAACACTTTTGAAAGGTTCTGGTCTCGTTCGAATTCATTGTGGTAATTTAGCTGGACTACTACTCAGTTACCCGGCTGAGCTCGGCAAGCTGTCAATCAGTCCATTAATCCAGGGGCTACCCAATGTGTGTGACATTCCCTTACTGAGATGTCACACAAACCTCTGCCTAAAATGTGTACTGCGTAGAATTTTAAAAACACTTTCAGCTCGGAAAACCCAGTGAGACAAATTTTCAGGAGTCATTTGTATATACACCGCCTTTGCGCAAACTCCTGTTCCATCATAAGAACCTCACTGCACCTCAAATTGCTAAGATGTATTGCGTGCATGCACACTTTTCTCAAAAACAGGAGTGTTATCGCATCTATACAAAAGGCACAATTTCCTTAGTTTTAGCGCTGGGCTAAGATAAAAAAAAAGACTCTTTCTCACCGATCAAATAGGAAATTATATCGCCTTCCAGGTTTTCAACATCCAAACGCTTCATCTTTAGAGATTTGCACTGAACAGGTCAGACTAACGAAGCTTCTTCAGTAGACTTGAATAGATGCGCGAAATTATTTCAAGATATACAAATTTTTATTTTCTAACCCACGACCTTGAATGTCCGATGCAGAGGTCAAAACTCGCGATAAAATTAAACCACGCGGATAACTTCTCTACGATTAATTTCCTGCGCTTTTTAGGACTCCGTTTGAAAATCTTGCGATGAATCGACAGTTTTCACACTACTCTAAAACGTTGCTATGTTGTGAGAGGTTTACGCCTACGACATAAAATAAACTTGCTCACCAGAAAATTAATTCTGAAGTAAAAAAAATATTTCGTTGCGGTTCCAGAGGTTTCTTGCTACAAACGGCAAAGGAAACCGCAAATCGTTTCATTGAATTAGTGTCATAAAAATCAACAGTCGCGTGACATGACCCAATTGCTGTAGACCTTATACACGAGGTCTTAAAATTTGTTAACAGCTCAGTATAAGGCAGCTCTGAGAAAAATTGAACAGTACTGACTGACCTCTACCATTATGCATGGAAAAATTGTGAACTGTGTTTGTGAATTTAACTATCCAGTAAAGAGCCAGATGTTTTATATCAAAACAAAATTGTTGTGAATATCATTTCATGAATAGTTCGCCTTCATTTCAAAATACTGTTGCAGGGAAGAGTCGCTGCACTTAACCTCCAAAAGCGAAGAATTAAATGTACACCTCATAGATTTGAGAATGCCTTCTTCGAGAAAACGATAAAACACGGGCTTTAAAGATAACAATATCAGTATTGTCCCTTGATAGAGTCGAAAACACGATTGTACACGATATTTCTCTGTACTCGGAAATACATTAAGACTTACCAAGTCTTTACAATTTCAGCAAAGAGACGTGAATTTAATCCCTGTGCCCCGTGTAATCCGTGGGCAATGCTTTCGTTGTAACAACTTGGACTAAAAATAAGCACTAAAGAATGCTTGTCTTTCTTATTCCGTTCTATTGATTTGAACCCTGTCACGTGGAGTTTAATATCCGAGCCAGAGAGATCACGAGTTTTCATGCATAATTAAGCAGTAAACTCGTCAAGGTCTTTAATGAAAAATCAATTTTCAGCGCTGGGTTTGTCGATGTTTCACGTATTAATTCATTTAAATAATTTTCAAGAGTTTTAGAGCTTAAATGATTAAATACAAGTCATGAAGGGCCGTCTAAATCTCTACTCTTGAGTTGTTGTTTTTTCGTTATTTTCCCAGTTAAAGGACTGTGGGACAAAATATGCAAAGATTCCTTCATGAAGTGGGGCTTTTTTTTTTAATGTTATCTCATCAAAACAATCTTTTGTGTGGGTGTAAAGGGCAATCGAAATACAATAGATGCTTTCAATTGCGAATATTTTGTTCAGGAAAACCAAACAAATAAGAAATCTGGAAGCATTCCAACGGGTGACAATTATTCCAAAAAACAAAGAACCTCTTCTTCCAAAGTTGTCGTAAACACATGTAGATTTGAATTTACCATGATTTTATTTTGCTGGTGCATGATTCAGTGCATGACCCGATTCTAAAACAGCATCTAATCATTTACTATCATGTCATTTTCAAAGCTTTCATCTCTTGAATGAATGGATTATGAATGAATGGATTACTTCACTTGACAGTTTCCTCCAGTTGTTGCAAAAATTTTTACACGTACAGATCAGCTAAAGAACTAAGAATATCCTCCTCCTTGATTCAACGCAAATTAACGTTGTCATACAGCTGCAGTTAAGCCAGGCTGAATTTAGTCACCGGTATTACCGACGGAAAATATCATGCCAGCGGCGAAAATCTCTCCGTGACGCCGAAATCGACAGTTTCAATGCAAAGAATATTAGTAGCATCGAAACGAAACGGCTATTTCATTTTGTTTGTTTGTTTCTTTTTTTTTTCAAAAAATATTCCAAAAACAGAGCATTGATTGGGTTTTTGGCGCGTGTATGCGGCAATTGGCACGCGTGCAACCAAATAAATGGCACGCGAACTCAATAACAACCCCTGTGGTGAAAGGGTATTTTGACTGACTTAAGATTTTGGATAAACGATCACGAAAGCTCCAAGGTTCTGCGTTTTCCCGCGACGATGCCAACAACTCTTATCACATCCTTCATTTCGCTAAAACTTTGACAAAGCAGTGTTGGTATTAAGCTGTTTCTTGAGAGAGGATTACAGGACTTTTTAGGGTGAAACAAAGTGAGTGGAAGTATTAATTGGCAGGCTTGCATTGAACTATCAAAATAACAGGAGTAGTATTTGTGTGCCTTGTGAGCAAAAATTAGTATCAACGACACCTATTAAGGAAAATTTATGTATTATGGGTCTTTCGATTATCAGTATTGAGTTCCAGGCGAAAAAAAATAGAGAAAAATATTCTCAATGTTAAATAACCTCTAAAAAAAACTTTCCTGCGTCAATAAAGTTATTTTTAAATGGGCTAAGTCTAAAAGAGCTGGTCTGGAAGGAAACTTTAAATCTGATATGCAAAACTGAGTTCAGACACCTATTAGGGAAAATTTATGTATTATGGGTCTTTCGATTATCAGTATTGAGTTCCAGGCGAAAAAAATAGAGCAAAATATTCTCAATGTTAAATAACCTCTAAAAAAAACTTTCCTTCGTCAATAAAGTTATTTTTAAATGGGCTAAGTCTAAAAGAGCTGGTCTGGAAGGAAACTTTAAATCTGATATGCAAAACTGAATTCAGTTTACCCATTTCAGATCAAAAACCTGCACAACAAGACGCATAATCGACAAAGTTAAACTTCAATTTGGTGATATAAACACACTTTTGTGATAATTCTGTAACGATCATTTTCTAAAAAAAACGTGATCATCTTTGTCGCGTATAAAGGTATGGAATTATTCTAACAAACATCGGCACTTTAAGGGTTACCTTTAAAATCTCACCAAAGGTAGATTATGATTTTTGATGGGCATTTCATGAAGAATATCATGGGTCCTTTCCTTGCCAAGAAAAACTGCTTCATGGTAATTTTGTGACAAGCATCTTGCATACTGCTCGGGTCAGACATTACAAATTATTTTATATATAGAAAGAAAAATGGTAAATCTCGTCGAAGAACGAAACCTGGGCTGTTAAAATTATATGGATTTAATTTTGTTAGTTTTGCGTTTTTGTCTTCCTTTTCTGTTTGTTTTGAATTTTTCTCTGTTATTTTATGTTACCCAATTTCATGGACTTAGATCGTTCCATCTGGTCACCATACAAAAAAGTATTGCCTTAGAATGGCACGATTTTGCAGCCCGCGTCATGTAATCGTACCCTCTTTCAGCAAACGTCGATCAAGTAAATTTACAGACATCATCAATAAAACTGGAAATGAGCCATTAAGTTGGGAAATTACCCAATGAATCTTTGACTTTCCCCTGGTAAGCTGAGATGGATTTCTTATTTCAGCTGTGGCATTTGTCAGTCAGGTCGCATGACAGTTTGAAGTGAAACTGTCCATATGTGTTCAAATCCAAAAGGAATATCACGTATGACGTGAGGTCAGTGTTCGCCATTGCCTTCACTTTCCTTCACTGCGATGAGTTTTCTCTTGTGGGGTGGGTTTTCAAGGGAAGACATGAATAAAATTGGAAACGGAACATTTAACAATTAAAAGTCTTCTCTGTTATAATACGCGGATAGTGGTGATCATTTTGGTCTATTATAGAGTTGTTAATTGGAAAATAATCGACCATGTAGTGTATAATTTTTCTTAATATTCTCTTCAGTTTGTAAGGCCATAAGGTTTTTAATGGTTAATCGCTTTGGCATCGTATTAATTTCGCAATAAGCTTCGACAAGAAACTCGCAACGCTTAAGAATACCTCGCGACGAAAGCTATTTTTGCACTTAATTTTTCAAAAAGTAAGCCCTTTGCAAAAAGATGAGCCTGAATCAATAGGGACAAAAAAACTGACAAGGAATATCATTTAAATTACGTTCCAGGTGCAAATCGGTGAAGTTTACCTACCAGGTTTGCTTATGATGCCTATGACGAAACGTTTTTTGATAAATGACCTCGATTATAAAACGTGACTTGGCATTTTATCCGTCAACAAAACTTGTAAAGTCACGACTGAAAATAGATCGCTAGCATAAAAGAGTGGAGTGACTAAAATCAAAATTGATTTGGCTGGTGGCCACAATTATCTTCACTGGGTCATTTTGTCTGAGATCGTCCGACAAAAAAAACAATTAAAACGTTTCATGACTTGTCAAGGGCTCAAAAAAACAACAGCTTCTTTCAACATCATGTCAAATGAGCAGTAATGTCTGTTTGTTGCCCGCCTATGGTTAAATAAGGTCTCGGGGGCAAAATTTCCCTGGTTATTTATTTGCTGAATCAGGAAACGGTTAGAGATTTGAAAAAAAGAATGATTAAGCCTTCTGCAAACTATGATATAAGTGTTGGATATTATCAGTTAAGCCGCGCTTGGCTGATAATTTTGAGTTCCTTCGTCCTGCTTTCATTACACGGAAGTCGCGATTTTGCAACCACTGCACTTTTCATTCCGTTATGCAATCGTGGAAATGTTCCAAGCTGTAAAACTAACTTTATTCCAGCTCCTCAACGAAAGTTTCTTGAATTTCTTTTATTTTTTAAATGATTTTCTTAATTTCTCATATGGTCTACGGTTTGCTCCAAACTATATTGGACATCGTATTAATTTGGCTGTTGAAATCCATTCCCTTCTCAGTTTCACAAAATCGCAAACACTGCAAGTTTCATCGAGTCATGTAATAATTGAAAAGTTCCAGGCTACAAAAATGTGTCTAGTCACGTCAGCTAAGTTGGTAACCGTCGAAGTATAACTTTATTCGATCTCTATACAGCAAAATTCTTGTGTTTTTCAAAAGTATTTTTTTTATCTTTTTTCTATATTTCTCATATGGCCTGCTGTTTGCCTCAAGCTTCGCTGGATCGACGTTATGTGATTTCAGCAATTGGAATATATTCCTTTATCAGTTGCCCAAAGTCAGTGTCGTCTCTGTTTAGCTCAATCTTAAGTATTATGGAGCAATCGTCATTTCCTTTCCTACATTCCCATTACTCGCAATCCTTATGATTTTGTGCTTACATTAAAAAGAAATGACATGTATCATCCAGGGCCAAGTTGTTCGAAGGATAGATATATCTGTATCCAACGGATAACTCACTATCCAGAGCAAGTAAATCTTAGCAAAACGTATTGCGTTATCCAAAGGATAATTATCCAGTGGATAATTAACGTTATCCATCCTTCGAACATAAATTTTGAGAGGTTAAGAATTAATATGGCAAATATTCAGTTACGGCAGATATTTAGCTTATGTTGTAGCGCGGCCTATAATTCATAATTTATCATTCTGAAAGTTTCCGGTTATATCATGATAGCAGTCCACGTTTTAAATAAATTCTCTTCACAAATGTTTCTGATCATATATAGTCGAGTCATAGCTACAATGGAACCGCAGTTTCTGTAGCTTCGATGCCAAAGAGAAAAAGAGGACATAAGAAGTTTAGATCGTTAGAGAAGATGTGCACATCAGGTCAAGTGTTCAGCGCAACTAGACCACAATGTAATAGCGACAATTTGAGAACAACCACTCTGGCTTATTAAAATTGTTCCTTGTTTATCGTATCAACCAAACTGCATTTTCCAATATGAACTGAGATGGGGGCCGATTAGACCTCAGCTCTCAATAACCTATACTCACCTGGCCGGAATCTCTTACATAAATTTATTATGGTTTAGTCTTGTTTATATGAAAAGGCCCTTACCGAATGATCAACACTGTCTTAAAATAATTGCATCGCAGTCCCTCGGAAATATTTGTCTGCACATTTGAAAACAATTGCCACGTTGTTATATTTTTGGCTACCTGGCGAAGGGCAGAAAGGTCTCACAAACAATGAGCAAATTTCAATAAATGCAGATGATCTTGAATTGAAAGAATCTACCAGATGAAACCAAATACC